GACCTAAACAAATTAAAGGTGGATTAGGGGCTAAATATACACATATACACGTATACACACACACACACATAAAGATATATATGCATATACATATATTCACACACACATATATACACATGTACATATGTTTTTAATGGAAGAAACTAATAAAACTAAAACTTAGAAGTATACATATATAAACTGTAACCTGGTTTTGAGATTATAAAAGGCTTTTAAAACAGTTTAAAGTAGAAATCACAACAGTAAAAGGTGATCTGATTATAAATAAAAAAAGAGGGAAAACCTCTCTGTGTAAAGATGACCATAAAATTTAAAAGACAAATAATAAACTGGGTAAATATCTGCAAAATATATTTATATCCTAAATATACAAAGAGTTCTTAGATATCAATAAGAAAAAGACAAAAACCTAGTGCAAAATGGGCAAAGGATACGCCTAAACAATCAATTACAACATAAGAAACTGTGAACTCTTCAATCTCACTACCATTTGAAGAAATCCAAATAAACAAAACATGAGGTATTTTTATGGCTCACCAGATTAGCATAAATTCTAAAAATAATATTAACAGCATTAGCAAGTGTGTGAGCTGAAATGGGCGACGGCTATGGATGGGAGAAGTTTTTATATAAAACCACTTAGAAGTTAACCTGGAAACGTGTATCAAGAGCCCTGCAAATGGTTATACCAACTGAATGAATCATTCCACCTATGGACAGTTACTCTAAAGCAATAATAAGTGTTATCCACAAAGATTTAGGTCCATACATATATCAGGTCTACGTGAATGGAAGTTACCAGAAGAGACGGCATAAAACGTTTAACTGATTCAATCACACTGAGATAAGAAAATGAATACACCAGTGAAAATAAAAGGAAAACCCTCCAGTTCACCCAGAACTGAGAGACAAAACATGAGTCAATAGTGAAGAATAAGGTTAAGTAGTGTATTAAATTTTTTGGCAAACAGGTCTTTAATACCTATTTTTAGCTAAAAGTCCATCTCTTAAATGTAGCCTCAATTTATTCAGATTGAATTTGCTGTGTCGGAATTTCTCAGGCGAGAGGACATTTTATGAATAATAACTTTAGACACAAGAAACTCAATTTTCAGAGTATAAAAACTCAAATCCCCAAATGCCTTAATTTCTTAAGCAAGAAAGAATGTATCACTTTACAGATTAATGTTCATGTTTAGAGGAGGTGAATGCAAATTAAAATTTCCCAAGATTTTAATGAAGCTGCTTCCTCTTACAGCAGTGCCTCTGCCCATGGCTTATTGTCATAGCCCAAGAATTAAGCTCAAAGGATTTGTGCGCTCTCGCTGCACACTGCTGATGACTTCACCTGCCTGTGTGGTCGGGGTGCCACCTCCCAGAGCACTGCGGGGACCAGGAGGCATTTTCTTCTTCCCAAAGTGGCACTGCCTTTGTGCTAAGGCCAGAACCCCACACTTCTGCATCCGTAGTTGGAATCAGAGGAGACGGAAAGTCAGCTAGGCCCCCGTGTGGGATTCACCTGTTTGAGGGCTGCCACCACGGAAAAGGGATTTCAATCTCGTCGCAACCCTCCCATTGCCCAACAGGGGGCTCTTAAAGAGAATGAAAACTGGGCAATGAAAACGCCTTCCAAGGACACAACTCACCCCCTCAAAGACAGAGGTCCGCGCCGTAGCTGACTCCGTGAGATATGGGACGGTTTATGGGGCTTTGTATCATCTACTTATAATCAAACGTTACCGTTTTCCTTAGGACAACAGCGGCATTTGGCTCCAATGAATGGGAGTCTCCAGATTAGGAAGATCAAAATCTGACTTTGACAGAGTCAACCCTTTATCACAGAATGTGTGCTCTTCCTCCACATCTGTGTGCCTGGCCAATTCCTATCCTTCATTCAAACTCAGCAGGTATCCCCTATTCCTTGAAGCCCGGCCCATCTCCCAGGGTGGAGCCAACCTCAGCATCTCTGGGTCTCCATGCCCCGCCCTTTACAACTGCCCTACTGAGGCCTGCAGCTTGGGGCAGGCTCGGTCTACTAACCTTTCTCGCCAGCAACAGAGGAGATTCTAGAGGGCAGGAATTGTGTCTCAGGCACACATCAGAAACTCCACGAATGGAAGCATTTAGCCACTCCATAATGTATAGAAAATTTAAAACACCATATTACAAGGACAAATTTTCATTTTAATTAATTTCTATTTATGCATTTCTTATCAATTTAAAACTTATAAAAATAAAACTCAATAAATGCTTACTGATTTAAATAACTAGATGACTAGCTGTGATGTGATGGGTCAGAAAAGGAGGTGGAAATAGAAGAATTCTAGAAGTCAGGGACTCCGTATCTACGGTGCACACAATTTCTGGCACGAAATAGGTGCTTGATATATATTCTGCTGGGGAATATATATATATGGGGTTTTTTTTTTTGAGATGGAGTCTCACTTTGTCACATAGGCTGGAGTGCAGTGGTGTGAAGTGGTGTGATCTTGGCTTACTGCAGCCTCTGCCTCCTGGTTTTAAGTGATTCCCCTGCCTTAGCCTCCTGAGTAGCTGGGATTACAGGCATGCACCACCACACTCAGCTAATTTTTGTATTTTTAGTAGAGATGGGGGTTTCCCCATGTTGGCCAGGCGGGTCTTGAACTCCTGACCTCAGGTGATTCACCCGCCTCGGCCTCCCAGAGTGCTGGGATTACAGGTGTGAGCCACTGTGCCTGGCCGACAGATACTTTTTGAATAAATAAATGAGTGTATGTAATGTACTAATGTAATAAAGCCTTCAGCTTTTTACTCACTACATATTTTTTTTTCTTACACTTGTGTCCTTCTTTTCTCTCTCCCCACCCCATAGTTGACAAAGCGCCCTAATAAGAAAAATCTCAGGGATGCCTGGAAGAAAGGTCAGCAGGTCACAGGAGCCCCTGCAAAATACTTTTCTCACTTTTTTGGAAGGCACTAAAGTCTCCCTTAGCATAAAGCCAATTTTTATTTTGATTAGAAAAAACAGCTTGTAGATTGACACCATCCTGGTCAACATGGTGAAACCCCGTCTCTACTAAAACTACAAAAAATTAGCTGGGCATGGTGGCGCGTGCCTGTAATCCCAGCTACTCAGGAGGCTGAGGCAGGAGAATTGCCTGAACCCAGGAGGCGGAGGTTGCGGTGAGCCGAGATCGCGCCATTGCACTCCAGCCTGGGTAACGAGCGAAACTCTGTCTCAAAAAAAAAAAAGAAACAACAGCTTGTGTTTGTATCCAGCTTTCTGAGCACCTTCACGTCATCTCCTCTGACACAGCACCCCCACAACACAGGCAGGCTGGGCAAGGGCACCCAGTGTGGTGGGAAGGAACCAGCTCAGTGACTGTCTTACACTGTGTGGGGGAGCCCAGGATGGAGGACCCAAATCTCAACTCCTCTGTATCATCTTGCTCTCACCAACCAGTGTCGTTCATGCCACAGAACCGGGCGGTCAGCACCATCCCTCTTGAAAAGCACTTAATGTTTCAGAAGAGGAAACTACAGCATTAAAGGCCAGAAACTCTAGCACAACAGAAATCTGTTTTTTGTTTTCTTTTTTTTTTTTGAGATGGAGTCTCACTCTGTCAGTCAAACTGGAGTGCAATGGCATGATCACGGGTCACTGCAACTTCTGCCTCCAGGGTTCAAGTGATTCTCCTGCCTCAGCCTCCCAAGTAGCTGGGATTACAGGTGCCCACCACCACGTCCAGCTAATTTTTGTGTTTTTTTTTTTTTTTTGAGATGGAGCCTCCCTTTGTCACTAGGCTGGAGTGCAGTGGTACAATCTCAACTCACTGCAACCTCCACCTCCTAGGTTCAAGAGATTCTCCTGCCTCAGCCTCCCAAGTAGCTGGGAATACAGACCTGTGCCACCATGCCCAGCTAATTTTTATATTTTTAGTAGAGACGGGGTTTCACCATGTTGGCCAGGATAGTGTTGATATCCTGACCTTGTGATCCACCCGCCTCGGCCTCCCAAAGTGCTGGGATTACAGGCCTGAACTACCACGCCCAGCCAATTTTTGTATTTTTAGTAGAGACGGGGTTTCACCAGGTTGGCAAGGCTGGTCTTGAACTCCTGAACTCAGGTGATCTGCCCGCCTCGGCCTCCCAAGGTGCTGGGATTATAGGTGCGAGCCACTGCGCTCGGCCAGAATTCTGTTTTAAGAAGACTGGATGTAGATGGGAGAGAGGAAAGAGACTTTCTGCTGGAGAAAATGCAAAATTCTTGAAGGGATACCCGTATGTTGAAGGAGCCTGAGTGTGTGTGTGGGAGGACTCGAGAGGATCGTCACCTTTTCTCTGACGAGCAGGCATGGGAAGGTTCAGGCCACAGAGCAATGATTTGCAAAAACGTAAATAAAATGAACAATGTCATTTTGAATGACTTGCAACTGGGAACAGAGGCCAGGAATTTCTAAACACATCAACATTTGAGAAAATACTAGCTTTCTCTGATCCTGATTGAAAAAAATTTTCTCCTTTAAAAGAGAATACAGAGAACTTAAGTCACATGAAAGAATGGCAGATGATAATTAAAATATAATAACATGAAGTTTGCATTTTATGTAGGTCAAACGGTTTCCTCTGAATCTTGCTCCAAATGGTTTTTCCACTTTCAGACACACAGTTATCAGAAATGAGTTAATCTTTGACACTTTAACATTAATTCGTATTTTTCAGAAGGCCCTTAGATACCCAGTTCACACGTGAAACTTCACTTCCCACCACGCAGCCCTGGGAAGGCCCAGACGCATGTTTTTGCAGCTGTGACTCAAAGCACCATTTGCTGGCTGGCATTTGTGGAACTGAAAGTTTAAAGGAAAAGATCAGCCACAGAAGCGATAAGGTTTCCAAACCTTAATCTGTAACGTGATAGTTACTGTCTCCGCTTAACCTAAGAGTCCAACATTGTCCTCAAGCCTGTATCACCTGTTGCTATTGAAGTGGATCTGTCAGTGCGTTTGCTGGAAGCTTACCTGAATTGGGTGAGATGTGTAAACTGCTCATGTCCTTGGACAGGCCATTGGTTTTAGGGCTGGAGATGGGAGCGCAGGCTGACGTGGCTCGGGGCGGCCTCTTCCCTGGGACTTTCACAGTGGTTCTCAGAAGGTCAATCTCCTTACCGTGAACATTCTGCATGTAATCCTGTTCAAAATGTTAAAGAGCCAAGAGAGATTTTAAAAAAGACCTTTTACAATCTAGAACGAAAGGGTCTATCAGATGTCATGAATTACAACCCTATGACCCTTCCACTGTGGAGAGCACTTTTAAAATGATGAGATTTTTATCTGTAGAGTACCAGTAACATCATCATTAGATTTAAATCAGAGTTTTGCTTCTGTTCCCGAACTAACCCAGGAACTAGAGATATAAGGGGAGACACCGCAGATGCCTCCTTCAAGGGGCATTAGGAAATAGGTCTACACATAAAATTCTATTTTTTGAATTCCTGCTTATCAGAGGGCACATCAGGAACCTGGGCTTCTCCTATAAATTCCAAGTAAAATTCCATGGAGTAGGAAACCATTCTTTAATAACCTTTCTGTCTCAGATGGGAAAACTATTAAAATGTAGATAAGACTGAAGCTGTCTGGTGAAAAATCAGCTGAAAACTGGAAGTAAAAAGGTCAAGTGTTTTGCTAAGAACTAGGAAGATGTCTGAGGGGTGAGTATTCTGGCATCGAAAAAAATATGGCGCTCAGGGATGGATAGCATCAAAAGCTGGATGTTAGAAAAAGAAGGTGGCTTTCTAGGCCTTGGAAGCAAATGACCAGCAGCGATCAGGGAACTACAGGGCAGCCTGGGTGGACAGTGGCTGTTCTCTGGCAGCTCACTTGAGTCACTGCGGAGTCAAACAGTACCTGGGAACCGGCTGATGAGCAGGGAAGCAGGAGGGGGACAAGAACTGAGAGCCAGGGGAGGGGCCTGCTGGCCAGTGAGTTACCAGTCCCTTAGTAAATCATCATCATCATCATCACTGATTATTATTTATGGTAATGAGAATCCTTGTCTGTAAAACACAGTATCTTAAGCACTCTGGACAAGTATTAATCAATATCACACGTTAAGAAAGAATATACACCCAGCCCTCTGTAACAATACAACAATTTAAAAAATACAAATAAGAAAATAGTGCATATACATTGCATGAGGTGAGTAATCTAGGGATGACTTAAGGTATACGGGAGAATGTGTGAGGGTTATATGTAAATACTATGCTGTACCATATAAAGAACTTGAACATCTGAGGATCTCGGTATTCTGGAGGGTCCTGGAGCCGATACCCCATGAACACACAGATATGACTGTATTTGAATAACAGTCTTGGAATAACTCTTGGAATAACAACATTTCAAGTGTTTTAATACTATGCAGGAAGTGGGAATAAATATGTTCTTTCCTTGGCAGCATCTTGGTGAATCCCCTTTAGATTTGAAGACCAATAAATTTGTCTTTGTTATAAGTGATTAAGCTCAGGTGAACATAATTCCATTTCATGTAATAACTTTTTTAGAGATGGGGTCTTGCTAGGTTGCCCAGGCTGGTGTCCAACTCCTAGCCTCAAGTGACCCTACTACCTGAGCCACCCAAAGTACTCGGGTTACTGGCATAAGCCACCAAGCTCAGCCAACGTAATTTTAGAAGAACTGCCAAACAAACCCACGTGCTGGATGCAAGGGATGGAGCCAGGGTGGGGAAGTGGGCTGCTGTCTTTTAACTGCTGAATGGCAGTTACCTGATGTTAACTACAGCGAGTGCTAAGTTTCTCTTCAAAGAACTGGTATGTCAGTATGTTCAGTTTCCTTGTTCTTTGTTCTCCATTTTAAAGTTTAACTTCCTCGTTCTCTTCCTCTCCTTGCCCGTTGTTTCAGTAAACAAACTTCCTGCCAACTCTTCCCGCCAATTCTGATCAGTAGTTGACATCTGTCCCCTAGCTACCTGCACCTATTCCTCTCACCAAAACCACACGTCCCCCTGTGCCTCTCCCTCTTGACCCACATATTTAGAGTCTGGACTCATCCTGGTCACCTGCTCCATCCTGAGTCACCCCAGGTCACCTACTCTGACCTGAGTCACCTATAGTCCACCTGTTCCATAACTCTCTTTCCCACCGAAACTGCTCACCACGCCACTCTCGCTCCTACTCCTGCTCTCTTTAAAATAGCCAGACTGAATTAGCTTAGACTGTGTGGTCCAACCCTAGCCAACAGGGGAACAACACAGCAGTAGTGGCTACCTGCGTCAGGGATAAGCACCCCTTCCTCTCCCTTGTTCAGGTGTGCACTTGCCACTGCTCCATCCGTGAGATGCACACTTCTATAGAGGTGAATTGCCTTGCTGAAAAAATTTGTGTTCAAGTGCTATTTCTTCTGCAGCACCGAAAATTTGTTTCTAACACCTGATGCAGAGAGACAGCTGGATAAAGTTCTAAAATCGATGTGCAAGCATTGGAAGCCTCTGTCTCAGGGACAAGGAAACTTGGCCAAGTATATTGAGGGAGCTGCTGGGACAGGGAGAGTGGCAAGGAGGCCAAAGCAAGATCCCAGTGGCTTCCGAAAAACAGGCTGTCCATCTTTTTTTTTTTTTTTTTTTTTAAAGACAGAGTCTCACTCTATCACCCAGGCTGTAGTGCAGCGGTGTGATCTTGGCTCACTGCAACCTCCACCTCCTGGGTTCAAGTGATTCTCCTGCCTCAGCCTCCCGAGTAGCTGGGATTACAAGTGAACAGTCTACTTTTAATTGCCTGACACCATCCACACTCCAGCAGGTGAAGGGGTCACAGGTTTATCAAGTAAGATGTCTACTGATAGAAGAAATGGCACAACAAAAACCACAGAGCATACAATTTCAGTTCAGCGCAGAGGAATGAAACTGAGGGTCCTCAGGGCAGAGGATGAGAAGAGCTGCTCTCTCCCTGACCAACCATGGGAAGGTGGGTGAGCCTGAGTGTCACAGCACAGACCTCCCCCTAACTAAAGTGACTTAGAGGGTGCCACATGGAGTCAAACCAGGCTCAAGGGAACAGCATGCAGGAATTCTCAACAGGAAGAAGGGCAGGAGGAGAAACTATTACATGAGGGCACAAGCACATTGGTTGGGGACATTCTGGGAGAGAAATACAGAACCCTGGCAGGTTCCCCTACACCAGCCACAGAGGGACAAGATGCTTCAGGGTCCCTGGTGACCCCTGAGGACAGACCTCTTGGTGTAGACAGAAAGCTCAAAACACCAAGGTCAGAACCAGGAGGAAGAACAATGGGCTGAAAGCCACTGGAGAAAGGATCAGAAACTGTGCCACAGTGGGGCCAATTCAGAGGCAGGGGCAAGGCTGGGCAAGGCTGGGCACTGACCAGCAGAGGACAGACAGTCCATCCAGAGAGAAAACCGGGGCACGCATGCATCTCACATCAGCCCAGAGGCCAGGAGCAGAGATGCCAGGCCATCTGAGGCTGGTGACTGGCCATTTCATCTTACACGGTGGCTCAGAGAGGATGGCCTGACTCTCAGGGTAGGCTGGCTGGAGTCAACCACGGACTCCTTGAAGGAAAGCTGCCACGGTGGGTTTAGGGTACTGGAAGGCGGTATCTGGGCTGGGAACTGCAAATCTGAATTCACCAGCCCCCGAAAGAAGACTCCACTTGGAAGTTGAGATGCTGGACTCTACAAATCATAATCAACTTTGAGAGGATGCAGACAAAGGTAGAAAGTTATTATTGAGTTAATTAACTATATTAAACTAGATGGAAGGAAACGTAGAAATGGAAGATACACAGGAACTCTCAGGACTGTGCTATGTTGAGGATGACAAATGAAGCACATCAGGCTGGGCGCAGTGGCTCATGCCTGTAATCCCAGCACTTTGGGAGGCCAAGGTGGGCGGATCACTTGAGGTCAGGATATCGAGACCAGCCTGACCAACATGGTGAAACGCCGTCTCTACCAAAAATACAAAATTAGCCAGGCATGGCTGCACACACCTGTAATCCCAGATACTTGGGAGGCTAAGGCAGGAGAATTGCTTGAACCTGGGAGGTGGAGGTTTCAGTGAGCTGAGATGGTGCAATTACATTCCAGCCTGGGTTACAAGAGCAAAACTCCATCTCAAAAAGCAAAGCAAAGCAAAGCAAGGCAAGGCAAAGCAAAGCAAAGCAAAGCAAAGTACAGCACATCATAGAGGTCTTTGGTTTGTGTTCGTCATGTCTTAAAAAGGGTTTGTCTCAAGCATCGTTAATTTACTTCCATTAATATCCACTGAAAATATGCAAACCCAAGTTTCCAAACCAAAGTTAATGCTTGTAAATAATGAATTCCTTCTTGCACAGTTACTCCTTTAAAAATATCAACTTGCTATAACTTTCTTCCTTAATGCCAATTCTTAACAAATTAAAATACAATAACAGGAGTGTAATTGAGCATTTATTGCTTATGGGCTCTAAAATGAGGCTAATCAGATAGTGACTAAGCCTCAGCATGGGCTCTTTTAATAGGCATGTTTTAACATACAATAACCAGGATATTTTATTCAAAATTATTATAGAAATGTACCAAGTGTCTGCTCTCCAGATTCGAATGTAGCAAGGGAAGACATTTATCTTTGGCTCAGCATGGGCCAGGGGATTTGTTTTGTTGCCTGAGTTAGGAGATGCAACCTCAGAAGAACAAGCTCTAAAAAAAAGTTGTAAAGTATCCGTTCATATCCTTCGCCCACTTTTGAATGGGCTTGTTAGTTTTTTTCTTGTAAATCTGAAACCATCATTCTCAGCAAACTGACAGAAGAGCAGAAGATCAAACACCGCATGTTCTCACTCATAGGTGGGTGTTGAACAATGAGAACACATGGACACAGGGAGGGGAGCACTACACACTGGGGTCAGTTGGGGGGAAATAGGGGAGGGATGGTGGGGGGTGGGGAGCTGGGGAGAGGAAGAGATAGCAAGGGGAGAGAGGCCAGATGTAGGTGATGGGGAGGAAGGCAGCAAATCACACTGCCACGTGTGTACCTATGCAACAATCTTGCATGTTCTTCACATGTACACCAAAACCTAAAATGCAATAAAATAAATAAATGGGGGGGAAAAAAAGTTGGCACAAAAAATAGTCAATTCTTATATTTCAAGGTACTACACATTTCAAAAAACTTTACA